TATATTTTTGACCTTTTCCAAGGAAAACACAAGTGAAAATTCAAAGGAAATTTTGTTTTCTAAGAAAAATTAACAATATTACTTTGTTTCCTGTATCATTTCCTTCCTCTTTTTGAAGAGAAAGGGCAGAAGAGTCTTTTTTCCCATCTAAAGGAAATGATAAATGCTTGAAAGATATTAATTGATATCAAACATCAAGATTTTGTGAAAATATTGTTTTTTAAAGAGCTATTACAGCAAATGCTGTTTTAAATAGTGTTGCCAAGACCCAGTACTTCATGAGGAAGCATGAGAGCCTTTGTCTTTTTTTTTCCCCTGATCTCTGCAGTTTGCTGTGTTACTCTCTTAAAATGGGCCTGATTCTCAGAAATGGAATGGTTTTATAGCATGTACAGATTTGCATGTGCAATCACCTTTTCATTTTTCACCTCTGTAACACTCATTACTTCCATGCTACATGTTTGAAAGTCATCTGCACATTTAGAAATTAGGGTTTTAGTATCTTATCCATAGATCTGCCAAATATGTAAAATGTCACTTGCCCATGTAATGCCTTTAGTTGGCATTAGAGCGCAGGCTCCATTTGTTTAACTCAGCCCAGATATACTGTGCTACTTGCTGAAGCGAGCAATGTGTGGGTGCATTTCCTTTGAGAGCCCTTGGGGCAATTCATGAGACAGTGATGACGGATCTTAACCTATTGAGGCATTAGGAATGACTACAGAGGGCAATAAGTAGTATTGGTAATTTCATAAACTATATGCACTCCTTCTGCCAGTGAGGACTTTTGAGCTCCTGAGGCTGCCTCCAAGTGTTTGCATGCACGCAGGATAACTGGTTTTGCCTGCTGTCCCAACCGGAAAGGTGATTTTGTTCCTTTAGCTCTGTTGTGCTTCTTGACCCAGAAATATGTTGATCTACCCACTTGCAGAAATTAAGTTCTCCTTTCTCACATCCTGTGTAATCTTTTTCCCCACTCCCTGAATTAGTACTCCCCTCCTGTCGCATCCATCCAACCTCATGTCAGTGCTTTTTCTTGTACATGTATCGCTCCTTGGCCTTTTCCCACCCTTATCCATGGTGACCTGAAAGATGTAGTTCCAAGAAGTTTTGGTTTAGTTTTTATTTTATTTTATTTTATTTTATTTTAATCTCATTTTTACTTTTATTTTATTTTTATTTTATTTTATTTTATTTCTCCTTTCCAGCTTAAAAGAAGACACTCCAGTATATATTAATCTATTGTGTTGTGCAGAGATATTTTAGGCAGAGAGGATAAATGCTGCTGGTTAGAGCGGTGGAGGAACAGACCTTGCTGGGAAGCCTACTTTCCCATGCTGCTTCCGAGAGACCCTTGCCAGGTGAGCGAGGAAAGAAGAGGAAAAAGAGGAAAGAGGAGGAAAAAGAGAGTGCTGCCCTCCTTCCTGGCTTCCTTGACCTCCTGGAAGTGAGCAGCTCAGCAAAGCCACTTTGTAGAGGTGGTGCATTACCACCCTATTGGGTTGGCTGAAGAGTGTAGGGTGATATACAACTTTTATGTTCTTTGCCAGCTCAGGCATTATCCTGGAGCGTTATGATAGCTGGTAGCAGTCCTTTCTTGAGCCAGTCTGAAAGCTACCTAAGGAAAGGATGTGGGACTTAAAGGGCAGCTGAAGTGAATATAGATGGCTAATGAAGGTCAGTGGCAGGGAGGCATGAGCTAATGCCACCCTGGGCACCCTCTTGCTCAATGGCTGCACCCATCCCTCCTTCTGGCGTGGTGTTTTGTTTGTGTATTCCCCTGTCCCTTTCCTCTTAGGTGAATGCAGGAACGTTGTGCTGCCCCTTTGCTCCAGGAACCCTAAAAACAACAAGAAGAAAGGTCTTCGGTTAATACCTTTCTCTGGTAAATCAGCCATAGGCACTTTCAAAACTAAAAGTTATATCCGGATGCTAATTATTGGCCAAATAGCAAATTAGCTACTTATGTAACGAACATGGAGTGCCTCACAAGCAGTTGCCCAGGGCTTGGCAGCTATGGCTTAGAGAGGCAAGTGAAACGAATTCCCCTGGAACACCAGGCCTGAACTTGGCCCTGACACTACCAATAGTAGTTTAGAAGTACCAAATCATAAAAGTGTCCTTCTTCTGCTTTATGTTAACGTTTTATCTGTTTCCTTACTGTCTTCCTCCCTCTGTTATTTTCTATAAGTAAAAAAAAAAAAAAAAATTGCTGCACAATGTAGGTATGGGAGTTGATACCAGAATTGTTCAGGAAAAATCAAATGTGATGCTGCTGTATGTGTAGAGCCCATATTCAGGGTGCCATCTACTGGCACAAAGAGCAGATAACGTTGCTTGGGAATGTGCTGCCTTAATGAAGTTCGTGGAGCACAGCAGGAAAGGATTTCTACCTGGAAAAACTTTTGTGAAGTGCACCTTTTCTTCATATTCTGCAAGATCTTACCACGCTGTGCTATAAGACAGATAGAAATCTGACAGAGGGAACGCTGAGATTTTTTTCTTTTGTGGTGGTTTCTATAGTTTGAGTGCCTTGAAAATACATCAGAAAGTCGTATCATAATACTATGACATGTGAGAAATAGCCCTAATTTAGGGAAGATAACTGAAGCTCAAAACAGATTAGTAACAAAGCATTCAGAAATCTTTGCAAGACTTGCAATTTGCTGACTGTGCTCCTACTTGAAATCCTAGGCCTGATTTTGTCATGGTATTAAACTTTTTTACAGCACTTCAGGTACTGACAACACCAGACTGAGAACACCTAATTGAAACTCATACTGCTCCCAAGAAGAGATATGTCAGTGTTTTATAGGTAGAGAGATTTTAGAAGAAAATGTAAGGAGGATGTGCTCAAGCCAAACATTGGATCGGTGACAGAGCCAGTGTCACTGCTGTCTCTCGAGTCTGATCACTCCTCCAACCTGGAGCCTACTGAAAATCTACTGAAAATCTGTTAGAAATGATTTTGGTTTGATACCAATGTGAAATACAAAACAGTTTGAATCTCCAAGTTTAGCAGGTGGGCAAAATCATTTCCTGTTTAGCAGTGCTGCAGACCCCCCTGACAAAACGGCCAAGCATGCCTCTGACACTGGTTTTAGCAGTGACGGCTCCGTAGGGTGGCAAGAAGTGTCTCAGGAAATGAAGAACACAGAGCGCTGTCTTTGCAAAGGACGATGTAAAAAGTTTTCTCCAATTTCCCATATAAACTCCATGGCAGAAATAGAACTGAGTACTGCTGAGTAGGAGGGAAACTGCTTTAGCCAATTTTTTCCCCCTCTCTTTCTGCAGTTCAATTTCTATGGGGAATCTATGAGTATATAATTCAATGCATGAAGCAGTCATTGAGCATGAGCTTTACTGTTGCTTGCATTACAGTTAGTGTTTCTATCATGGTGCATAACGTGGTGTGAGTAATCCCTAATACTGAAATACTTTCTTCTTCCCATTTCTCTCTTAAAGAGTACTGCGTTTCCTTGTGCTTCCATATATGCATTGAAATCCCCTGAGCTCTCATTGTTGTCCTCCAGATCTACAGGGTAAGGTGTTTCTGTGGCAGGAATTCATTTACCAGGGCTGGGAGAGGGTGATGGTATAGGAGCTGTTTGTCACCCCACTAGCCCAACGCCCTGTGGTCCTGCCTCAAGAAATGTAGGAGCCCTCCTGTCCTTCTCCCACGTGCAAACCCACGCTATGTCTTCCTCTGCTCCAATGTCTTCATTAGGACTGCTCTTTTTGCAATTAAGGAATTTCTGCTTTTAGACTCTTCATAGGTTGGGGATGTGCGCTAACAAAAGCTGTGCTTTCCAAACCCATTTGGAAATGGTTGATTTTCAACAGTTCGTATTATAACTGCACTTAAATGGATTTCCATTTCCTTGGCTCCATAGTAGGGAAACCAGCAATTCCAGCCTATATAATATCTCTTCCTTACAAATTTTCTCACATGGTTATATAGAAACTGAAATAGCAGGGCTTCTTGTGGCCTCCTACCATATTACTTCACCCACAATTTACATAAAGTAGTACCAGGGTGAACTAGAGGAAGGAAATCTGAGCAAGGGCTGAACACAGTGCACTGTACCAGTGACTTGTACAACCAATACAAAGTAACTCTTGCTAATGGAAAAGCTTCAGGAATTTCGGTAGCTAGAGCAGTTTGTTGAGTTGCGCTAACACTAAGACAGGAGATGGAACAGCAGAACTGCTAGAGAATCCGTAGGTCTTCAGTGACAACAAGTAGTTAGATGTATAGCTTTGCATTTCTTTTAAAATGTGGTATATTCAATAGGATCTTTTAGCATCATAGAATTATCATAGGAAATAACAACACTATCTTCCTTAAACATTTGATTGTTCTGTACCAGTTCCTCTTGGTCTCTCCTAGAGTATGAGATCTGACATGCTCAGCCATTTCCTCATTTCCAAATTTCCAGGAGAAGAACACAGAAACAAAAATCTCATCCCTACTGACAGTAAAATTGTTAAAATTAAGGGAAATTTTATTAGATGTGGGTTTGAGACTGTTATGCGAGCAGGGTTCCAGCATGGTTGTGTAATGCAATCGTAACATGCATCTTGCATATATTGAACTGTAGAGGTAAGATATGTTAATAGGTTTCAAAGCATGTCATTTTCCTTTGCAAGATTTAAAATGTGTAGCGTGAGCAGGGCCAAAGACAAAGTGTAATGGCTGCCAGCTGGATGTGACAGAGGGTTGCAGGGAGATTACACCATAGAGGAGAATGGCTTTTGAGATAAGGATAATCTTTTACATAAACTAACTCTTCCAAGGCAGTTTGGATGGGTGAGCGATAAGGACAATAATAAAACTATGGGCAGACACAGTTGCTAGTTATCCCAGCGCTCCAAGATGATCAAGATTTTGCCAGCTAGATAGTCAGCTTCTTCTCCTGACTACAATGAAATATAAGCGGCATTGATACGTTCTTGTCTGAAGAGTCTCTAGATTAATGCTGTTATTTTATTTTCTTCAGGTTCAACCCAGGAACCATGGAAAGGTCTACAGCTTCTGATATGGCCTCTGAAAAACCAAACCCTTCTCACCACAGTACAGGGGCTGTTCAAATGAGAATCAAAAGTACCAACAGTCACCATGATAGACTGAGCCAAAGCAAATCTATGATTCTTTCTGAGAACGTGAAGGTCGCTGAACCTGTAAGTAAAATACCCTAATATTTCCTAGACCTACTGATTTTTGTAAAGCCATGCAATCAATTTAAGTGTAGTTAAGATATCGATTCTGTGATAATCTCTTGCAAGAAGGAACTTAACATCACTAATACATTTTTAGGAGTACCACTAAGTATTGGAATAACAATTTTCCTTCAGTGAAATGCAGAAATTGACTTTGATGTCGGGGATCATAGCACCTGTTCAACATTTAAACTCTCAAGTGTTATAATAATTCAGGTCTCTGTAGAGAGTAGTACTTACAGTATCAGATATATGCCATGATTTCTAAAAGGCAAATGCCAGAACTAGACAAACAAAAGAAACAGAGATCCCAACTTTTTAAATAAAGAACAACTTGGCCAGGAACAAAAATAAACGGTCTTGCTGTAAGCATGAATGATTTGCAAAAATCAGACACCAAAGTTATCTTGGTATTTTAATAGCAAATAGAGTTGAAAGAGTTGAGTAATTTTTTACTCATTATCTTTTTTTTTTTTGAAATGAAATAGTTAGTGATGAACTCTGTTGCCAGTTGTGTCCCTGCCCCTGTACTCCTCCTGAGCTACTAAACAAACTGATTGGTATGAGTCTCCCCTGGTTAATTTTCTTCCATAATGGTGGCAACTTGCAGCTGAGGCCATATGATGTTACAAAATTATTTATGCAATGTTAGCCACTTTTTGGACTCCAGATCCACTTTATTCTCAGAAAATGCAAATGAGGGAGAAAACTCTGTTAGCTAGGGAAAGACCCCCAAGTCTCAGTCACTTTCTACAACCATGTGAGCTATTAATTTTTGTTTTGTTAATATAATGGATTCCCTTGAAATATGCAGCTAACAAAGTTATTAAATGGAGGAAGCCACTATAACAGCTGTATTTTCTTCCCTTTTTTGTACCAAGTACAAACTTATGCAGAAATACATTATTTTAATCATTCATTTCTCTGCTATAGCTTAATTCATTTCAGGAATGTGCCTTAATATATTTCTGCAGAGAAAAATCTCTTTAGATCTTTGTAGCTGATAAGATATTCATTTACTTTCCATTTAAAAAAATATTGTGTGCCTGAAACACATGGTACGTCTTCCTTTTTATCTGAAGCAAAATGTGCCTCCATTACAAACCTGAAACGATGCTTATAGCAATTTACTGGGAATAGTATAATGTATTATCAGGAAGAACTGTACCTTTGAAAAAGTTTAAAAGTTAAGTATATTTAATGATGCCTAACATATTTTATTGGCTGTGTTTAACAAAAGGCACTAGGCTGCAGTTGTTTTTGACAAGCATGAAAACATCACAGCATGAGACTGCAAAAGGAATTATGTAGAGAAATTACAAGTGATCCATCTCTCAATGAATTATCCACCTCAATAGCCTGCAGAACTCAGCTACCAATTAACACCTACTTTATTACATGTTGGGATGTACTTAATAACTTTCATGTGTTTATGCACTATTACCTTGACTGATGCCTCTTGTACAATTAGGCATAATTGGCATATCAATATGCAAAAGTTAAAAGGATTAACCCTCTTAAAACTAATGAGCATTTCTGTATCCAGCTGCTAAATGAGACAAAATTAGCATTTTTCACTTTTGGGCAGGATTTTATCATGCAGTTTCTCATTGTTGATATTACCTTGTTACATAACTTTAGTTTTGGGGATAGTATGCTGGACTGTTACAGAGCAAGGGCTCTAAAAAGTTAGACATAAATAGACGTAAATATTCACTGCTGCATTCCAATAACCACAGCAGGTACAATATATGCTCATTGGTTGAGAGCTGAAAAGTTGCTTTGTATTACATTTGTTTAGTAGCTAATTATATAAAAGTGGAATTTTACTGAGTATATGTCATTTTACCAAGCAAACTTGGCTCCGATATAATAGATTGAAAGCTTGCCATGCTACTAATTTCCTTTCTGTTTCAATTCTTTTCATCTCTTTTTGCCATGCAGAATTTTCTGCCTAGATATTGACAGGCTGAAAGTATTTTGGCATATTTACTTAAATAAGCCTCTTAAAGTTGTTTGCTAAAGCCAAACTAAAAGCAAAATTCTTAAGGATCCAACGGTTTTCAAATATGTGCTTAAAATGCAGTGTGATTCCAATGTGAAAGACCACTAAAATATCTGTATCAATTGCACATCGACATATCTGATTCTCCTCCGCGTGTGATTTGTGAAGGATTTGGGGGAGAGTAAGAGAGGAGATGGGGCCTTTGTCAAAGTGTCTTGAAAAAGCAGGGTTCAGCTGATAGATACATTTAGTAATCTTGTTCGGTAACTCACGAAATTCTCTTTCAGTGCACTTATATACACAGCCTGCACTTCTGCATTTAAAGGCACACAGCCCTCTGCTAAAGGATACATACACTAGTATGTGAAATTGCAAACGTGCTGTTCTATATACCTACTATTTACCAAAAAGTTTTTTTTCTTAGTCCCCCAAAAATGTATCGTTTTATTTAAAAAAAAAAAAAAAAAAAGGACTTGTCCTGATTGTCTTTTTAACTCAACAGTCTATTTCTGTTTAGTTGTTTGGTATAGTGTATAAGGTATCCACTGATTGTGTTTAATTTCTGTTTCCTATTGACTGAGTATTTTTTGTCCTATTGTCAGATACATTTTTCTTTTAAACGCTAGAGATAGCTGAATAAGGGAATTGATATTACTCTTTTGCTGCACATATTAGGTATGTCCACTGTATGATATGTTCTATTAATAAATAGGTCAAATCTTCTTTACCCAACTTAAGGGTTAATGGATTAAGGTAATCAGTGCTTCGTACATTTTGAACAATCAATAGAAAAATATATTTCTAAAACATATATGAAAAAATAAATAAATGAATTAAAAACTAATTAATTAAAAAGATTTGAGAATATAAAGGGCAAAAACCATGCAGAAATCTAGAAAGATCGCTGATGAGTTATAGTGAAGAAAATACATAATTTTCTCTAAGAGATTTGTGGTGTTCTAAAGCATTTGCTGTGATAAGCACACCTGGGGCTATACTTTTGAAGGTGGACAGATTATTTTCTATAGTGTGACAAAGAGGGATATGCATCGGACATGAGCAGGGCCATATGCACTTGTGCATTTTACAGTAGTAAAGATGCAAATGTGGGATACAGAAACTCATGCAAAAGCTAGATGTAGATTCTTGTGGTTTTTAGTTATTTATTTATGACAGAAATGCTTGAGCCTTGTGCAAAGGTTGAAATTGGTATTAATGTAGAGTATAAAGATCACAAATTATGAAACTGGACACAGGCTGTGGTAAGCAAGGGCTCTTTTTGTGCTTAATGTTAGTGTCTGAACAAGCAATGTAAGTGAATATTCACTATTTTCATCTCTTAAACCCCAGGGAAGTGCATTTTGCTTATTCAGAACAACTTAAAACAATGAAATGTATTTTTTTTTATTGGTGTCTATATTAAGAATTAGAACCTATTTTGTCATTCCAAAATGTTAATGTACTAGAGCTTTTTCTGATTAGGTTAAACAGACTGGTAGGTTTATTTGTCTCCCTAATACATTATCAGAGAAATGGGAAGCAATCCTCTTTTGTTTCTTATTCCTGTGATCCTAGAACACTTGCCAAAGTTATGGCTAGCCAAAAAGACAGAAATAAAATTGCTAAAAATATAAACCTTCTGTTTAGCAGAGTTTTTGAGCCATATTTTGGAATTGCAGGGCTTGTACATGTTTACTTCAAATCAAGCTTATAGTCAAGTTTGAGGCTTTGTTTGTATGGATTGTCCTGAAGTAGATCCTGATATTTAATTAAAATGACACTAAATCACATTGAATTGATAAGACTTGGCATCTCAAACAAAGGTAATTGCCCGTATTGGTTTTGTACAAAAATAGAGCTGCTTGGAAAATGTGCAGCCAACACAGACTGTCAACTCCATTTATAGATCAATATGTGAAAACCATTGATCAGGCAGGCATGTGTAACAGTAACACTTTGCATTTATTTGTTGTTTTTATACCATGTTAAGGCTTACAGGATTATCGACTTCCAAAATATTTTGACTCCCTCATAAATATGTTATCTGTTTAATGTTAATTGCAAGACAGACTACAGCCTTCTTTTAGAATATTTTCAGTTTCATTGCTATGGGTAGTTTTAGCCGAAGATGGAATATTTCATTGTCTGAGAGATCATCAGAGCTTCCTTTACAGTATAGTTTATTTGGGGGAAAGTTTTTGAGGATTCACTTTTTCACAATTTGCTTTTTTTCGCCAGAAAAACAACAAACAAACATATCTTGACAAAATATTTCCAAAAGCAAAGTACCTTCTCTTTTCGCAGTTGTGTGCATTTGAGGTGGAAAGTGAGAAATATTCTCTTTGTTGTGTTCTAAAAGTGACTACCCAGTCTGTACTCTCCACAGATTTTATTCTCACACAGCAGTCCATTATATATGTGTCTACTTTTCTCTCTATAAGGGAACAGCTGTGAGCCCTTCAAGTTGTTGCACAAATCATATATTAGTACTGGGACAGACCTAGAAAAATATATGAACTTTATATGACAAATGCAAGCTTACAGTCATGATCACTGTGTTTGACCAGGTATTTCAGGGTAGGTATAAAAGGAACAGGGTTGAGGGAAAGCAGTATGTCTACAAGACAAGCCTAGTCTTATTTCTTGAATGTGAATATTGTCCAAAAAACCAGAAATCATAAACGGGGGGAAAAAATCCTGTTGAATAACATTAGTCATTCTCCTTTCTAGTGCAGGAAAATGCAAAATGAAATGAGTCATATGTGTCCTCACGGATTTCGTATTTTCGAAGCCTAGATCTGCTCTGTGGTGTGTATCAGGTTTGCAGATGGGCGCGCGCAGCCCTCGCTGCCTGTTCTCTGTACCTGTATTGAGGCACGTTTCACCCGGACCGGAGGAGCCCCTAAGCTGGGCAGCCGCTGCCGCAGAGCGCCTCAGCCCAGCCCGGGCCAAGCTC